ATGGAGCAGATCTTGGAGACGCCACGATTCAAGCCGCAAGGCGCGATGCGCCACCTAACCTAGCCAGTTGTCTAGGTTAGGCACTTGGAAACTTGAAATAATTTGTTAGGGACAACAAAGACGAAAAATTTAATCTTCAGATTTACATCGATAATCTTTTTAGCAGGAGTTAACTATCTTGATCAGATGATAGTTATAGATAATAATATAGTTTTTATTTGTAACATTCCTACCATTATGGAAAGGACTTAAAACTTATTACATTTATTCGTCATTTGCCAAGTTTTATAGTAAAAATAAAAGGCAATATTTTCATATACTATAATAGAAAATTAGTTAATTTGTTGTATTGTTTATTTTTTATGCATGTTGTTTGTTGATTTTTTATTAATTTTTTCTCAGGGTAAAAAATTGTAATTATTGCATTTTTCTTTATTATTTCAATCACACTGCAGATCCATCAGTTCAGTCTATTTAACCCTAACCCAGTTTATAAAATAGACTAAGCAAAATTTTGCAGATAAATTTTGCTTTATTCTGATTGATATATCCATATTATAATAATAATTATTATTATTATTATTAATGGATGACTAAAATTTTCACTGTGTAGAATCAAACAATTCTTCATCTTAAATATCAGCCAAAATAAAAATTATGATGGAAGCAACAATTTTCTTCAGTGTTTCACCTGATCATCATCATCATCATCATCATCATCATCATCATCATCATCATCATCATCTCAGTGGACCCTAATAGAAAAGAGAAGGATAATGAACTCACCTTGTGGCTGAGGCAGCCGCTGCGTTTCTGCCTCTGGAGGAAGTGAAGGTGATTTAAGGCCCATCAACAGGAAGAGGTCACATGACCAGCTGGGGGCGTCGCCCTGTGAATCGTCACAAAGTCTTAAACATTACTGACACGAGTTAAGACGAGTTCTTCAGCCTTATAAAAAGCCTTTAGTTATTCTTCCCAGTTAGCTAAATCAGAGGAATTTTACTAGAACTTCAGCAACAGAACCGGTCCAGCAGAGGAACAGGTCCAGGCTCGGTTCTGTCTGGCTTGAAGAGTCAGAACCGGATGTGCTGAGTTGAGACCAGAACTAAAACAAACCAATCAGAAGATTGTAACAAGAAAGATGCAAGAAATAAAGAGCTTAATGTCGACATGAGCAACAACCCAACATCCACTCAAACCCCAAAACCCAAACCGCGAGGGTCTTCCTTCTCAGTAAATGATGGTTAGCTTTCATTGTTAGCTTTAATGGCTAACTTTGATTATTAGCTTTCACATTAGCATTCATTGTTAGCTTT